AAGAGAAGACTAGCATCCACACTTACTCAAACTCACACCCATACGCAGCCCCACAATCACACCCACCCACTCACACCCACACCCACACCCACCCACATCCAACCTCTGACGACTTCAAAAATTGATGAGAGATTGACGGCATTGAACTGAAAGGTGTGAAAATTCATATTCAAGTTTGCACCTTTCACGTTCAAGTAAATACAATTTTCTACAGTTTGATATATTCGACATTTGCCGTTGAAGTCATATTTTATTTTAAAACTACATAGACAAAAAGCATAATTTCAATTTCGACCTTATTCATTTTAGTGATCTCTATGTCGATGATATTGTTTTATCTTCAATACAATCGTTAACTTTAAATACATAGGCAAAAAAGATCGCTCTTATTTTATTTTACGATTACTCTTCATATGAAGGAGTTTGTTATAAAAAAGAAGAGTAGCTGATAAAGTTGTTGATGCAGAAAACACAAAGAAATAAAAAGTTTTGAAAAATAAGTACAGAAAAGAAGATATGTTGAAGGAACCACCTGAACTCACGTAGTCCAAGTATGAAGAGAAAAAACCGTATGAAGATTTGCTTCCACACCTAGCAAGAGATGAAACATATACTCGAATACTATGACCATATCAAGCTATAATATTCGTTATGTGAAGATGTATCAAAGAAAAATGTTAACAGAAAGCCAATTATTGTTTAATGACTTTTTGAAGATTCCACATTTTTTTGTTGAATCAAAACTTATTCGACATATCTCTTTCAACAGTGCTTTTGTTCGGCCTTTAATACATTTAATCGATGAATTGATCATATTTTATCACTAAAAGTCACAAACATAAAAACAAAAAGATCATCTTTTCTTCTTGTATAGTTTTATCTGCTTATAAAATCGCATGTAGTCTTTTGTACTGAGTTATTATTTTCTCTAAACGACGATGGTTGACGCAAGGTTTGTAGATGTTTATGTTTTTTCATAGCAAATATCTCACTACAAAAACGACTGTAAATTTTTAATTAACATTCTCTCTTTTCTTATGTGAAAAAATTATATTTATAATTTCTAGCAAAACAATTCATTAATCATGTGATTTAATATAAATTGTTTTTTTGTTGTTGTTTCAATAAAATATAGACGGATAACAATTTTATTAGCTTCTTTGCTATTTATATTCTTTGTTTTGACTATTGTATTCGTCACTTTATATGGAGTTGAAAGAAACAAAAGTTCGACTCCTACAATAACAACTACGGGTATGAAATGTTTCTATATTTACTTCTATGATGTGTTTGTTTCTAGTCCAAACAGATGAATGTGATACTCCTTATTGTATTAAAGCAGGTTAGTTATATTTTAATAAATTAGTAAGATTCTTTTATTTGTAAAATATGATAGCAAATTATTTACTTGAAAGTATTGATAAAACTGCTAATCCATGTGATAACTTCTTTCAATTCGCTTGTGGAACATGGTTAAAGAAGAATCGAATACCTGCCGATGGTAATTTGATATATTTTCATGTTTTTAAATATGTAAATGTAAATTATGTTTGTTTTAGCTGAATCTCAAAATACTTTTAACATTCTACGAACTCAATTGGATAATTACATTGTTGGTAAATATATATAATAGAATAATTTTAAACTATTTGATTATAACAGTGATTGTAATTAAATTTTATATTTCATTTATTGAGAATCCCAAAGATTTTTTCATAGAATTGTTGAATAAACAGGATAGTGGAGTTCAGTCATACTCGTGCATTCGATCTATGAGCATGTCTAAATAAGGATTTATTAATTTAGATTGATACTTATAGATTTAAGTATTTTCTTCAAACATAATTTTCTACTCCTGTTATTTACCACAACGATTATTTAACTATTTTAGAACACATCATATTTTATTATTCACTATAAAATACCGAATAGAATTTTGCAAGTTAAGAATATTAATATACCTACAGAGCTTCATGATTATGATCTTAAGTAGTAATAGGAACCTATAAGATGGATTGTATTCTTTAATGAGCACTGTCAAAAATGCAATCCAAATAAATCCGACGATATGATTTTCAAGGTTCTTTTTTTTTAATCAAAACTCAGTTATAAAATTACTATCCTAAGCTTTTGGTACCATGCGAGGGCAAATTTCTGGCATGATAGACTACGCCTAAAAGTCTGGTGTCATAGCTTGCCAGATTCTAAAATTTTCAGAAATTTAATTGATTTAAATCGGTAGTCATATTAGAAATTTGAATAAAATATTAAACATAAATTAAATGAAAATCTAATTGTTTTTTCCTTACATCCACTGGTAGACAGAACTAGAGCAATCTTTATCAGTTCACCAAGTATATATTAAAACAAGAATGACATTAAATCGATTATTTTATTTTTTATTACATGTAAAAATATCTCTGTCGATAAGAGGCAAAAGTCAATTGTCATAATACGGTTAAGGTTAAAATCTTAGCACTATGTCTTAGTTTTAATTCATGTGTGAAACTACAAAAGAGTAACTTAGTTTGATTATATTACGTTATAGTGGATACATTTAACTTATGTATTAATAGAAAATAAATTATATATTTTATTGATATAGTTCATCATAGATAGCAATGATTTTTATTATAGAAAAAAAGTAATGAATTTTCACTTGGTACAAAAGTAAAGAAAAAATGTACGATATTATGTTTCTATACTTGAAACTGTTACATAAAATAAATGTAGGTTCGTAAAAGGATATTATAGATAATTCGGGAATATTTTTCATTATTCAAAATATTTTTTTTACTGTGAACTTGCTAGTAGAAATCTTGATATCTGCTTCCTTTCACAGAAATCAAATAATGCACATTGAGAATAAATCTAATACTAAATAGTATCTTCCAATATACATGTTTAGATATGTTAACTTCATCAATTCCTGCCGACTTAAAAAATCTTCAATCTGTAATTAATGCTCGTCGTTTTTATGAGACCTGCATAAATGAAACAGTGATAGAATCCGAGTCTATCAATGTAATACTGAGTATCGTTAATGATCTCGGTGGATGGCCAATCTTACAAGGTTCATCATGGAATAAAACATCATTTAATCTTACAAATTTATTAATTCGATTACGTGAATATGGTTACAATATGATATTTGGTTTTGGTACATCGAATGATGATAAAAATTCTTCAACTAATTTTATTCGAGTATTTAATCAATCATGATAATATTTGAATGTGTGAATGTTTTTTATTCTTTTTCTATGAATAGTTTTATCAAAGTGATATTGCTCTTGCACAACGATCAAATTATCTTAATGAAACAAAAGTTACCAGATCTTACAGACAGTTTATTCAAGATGTAGCTTCAGCGCTAGCAGCTGGTAGAATAGTAAATTCTAGTGAAGTTGACGATATTTATAATTTTGAAAAACTTATTTCAACTGTAAATAAACACTTGTGTTTTCTTTTCTTTTTTTTTTAAATTAAACAAATGATAATCTTTAGTTTCATTGGACACCAGCTGAACAACGTGCTAGACAAAATGAAACAATTCGTACAACAGTTGGAAGTCTTTCACAAACATTTAATACAAGTGTAAGTATTCATTTTTATGTTTATTTATAAAATATTGTTTAGTTTTTTTTTCTTTCGTGAATTTAGTTTGGATTTACGAATTATATTCGACATATATATTCTTTATCAAATGTTTCTTTAAATGATAATGATATTGTATCAGTTAGTGAACTTGAATTTTTACGTAATGCATCATCGATTATTGATTCATCTTCTCGACGTGTACTACAAAATTATATTATATGGCGTTTTATTATGAGCAGAATATCAGATATGCCTAAGCGTTATCGGGCCCTAAAAGATCCATTTGATGAAGCTTATCGAGGTACTGTTGCTCAACGTCCACGTCCAATAACATGTGGAAATTATATTAATAGTAATATGGGTTTCGCTCTTTCAAAAATTTATATAAAACAATATTTTGATGAAAGCGCGAAACAGCAGGTATTGTATTTAACTCTTTAAGAATATCGCAAGCAAACTGAATTAATTTGTTTAATTTGCGAATAGACTCCTTGAAATTTAAATATTATACAAAGGAAAACACAGAGTAATGGAATCAACGATGTTTTTCATTTTCATTCCAAACGAATATGATAAAAAAATATTTTTTTCATATTAGTTTTACACCTTCACTATAACTAGTACTAGCAATATCTGTCTAGATGACTTGTATGATGCAGACCCATCGTACATTCTATACATATTAAACAACTGCAAGAGTAGATACATATCTTAGTTTACACTGTGTACTATCTAACATGTGATTCCTGGCAAATAGCCTCTCCTAAATCTTACAGATTTATTATGTAACTAGTTGTATTCAGATTTATAGTTTCCTACAGATGAGTACTCAAATATATTAGTCATCTTTATTGTCTAATGCATATAGTAGGTAGAAATAAGATTAATACAAAATTTACATTCTACTAAATGCACGCTGACAATAAAATTTCTTCAATTACTCTATCAACTTTGGGTACTGAATTATAATCAATTTTCCACTAAAGTTTCGAATATTCAAACAAAAGCTATTAGCATGATACACAATAAATATAAGATTTAGATATTCAATAACAAGACAATCAAATATTCATTCTTCGTGAAATTTTCATGACGTCCTTGGAATTGTTAGTTTATTCGTATGCTAAAGGACGGGGGCGAATAAGACCACAAATCGGCCCCCGGTCAAAACTTAATTCAATCACCTCAAAACCAATAGAAATTTATAGATCTATTGTTTTTATGATTGTTTTAATG